TGGTTGTTTCTTGACTGATGTTGCTGTCTGTAACTTTGGTATCCTCGTTGCCTGCTTCTTGAGTGGGGTCGTTGTCCGCTTCTTGAGTGGGGTCGTTGTCCGCTTCTTGAGTGGGGTCGTTGTCCGCTTCTTGAGTGGGATCGTTGTCCGCTTCTTGAGCGGGCTCGTTGTCTGCTTCTTGCCGGGTAAGGCTGACCCTGGGAAGCAGATTGTTAGAAGGTGGAGCTTTGTGTTTGCAGATGGTATAAAGTTCACGATTATAAGTATGTCAGCTGAGGGCAGCAGGTCCACTGGGAAGCTTACTTCTGCTCGGTTTGTTTCGGAGGAAGATAACATTGATTGCTGAGCTGAAGAAACCTGAGCGTGCCTCATCAAAGAAACGTATAACAGCCCAAAAGAAGCAAGGAGGTTAATCGTCTCGGACACGCTTAGTAAAATACAAATACAAACATACAGGGCCGGACTTAGGCATAAGTTAAGCTTCAATCTTAAGGCTTCGCAATGTTAAACGCCCAAAAAAAATGTGTTTCTTCCTCCCCATACTTTGACGCTTTATATTCCTACTTTCGAGTTTTGGGGACCCTTTTAAACTTAACATAGCATAGGGTCTCACAAAATCAAAGTCCTGCCCTACGTACATTACGGACCTGCATCATTTCACAACCTCATAAATCCACTAGGTTTTCGGTTGCTCTTTCTTTAAACGATGCCAGTGGCGTACTTGCAGTACGTCTGACTTACAACCAGTGTGACGGAGGCATGATCTCACGTGGTATTCACTGACATCAACAAATGCTACCTGGCCGTCGAAATTGAAAAATACGTACAACGTGAAAATTTGAGACAGGTTTGGAACCTTTTACAACTTAGTATTTTCAATCGGAGTTCATGTTTGGATTTCCCTCAACAGAAGTATGGCTTCTTGATTCCTCTCACTTCTGTGAGAGGTGATCGACTCCCACACGATTCCTCTTCATATAGTTAAAGCCCCGACATGACCCAAAGAAGAAACTACATTTACCATATTTCATTTAATAGCTGTTTTTTTTTTCAGAGGCGCACGGGAATCGAACTTCAAATGACCCTCAGAGTTGCAACATTCCCACCAATCCTTCGATGCTCAGACACTGGTTTTCCCACCTCCGGAGCTTAAGTCCGGCTAACCGGCTTCCCTGAATACTTACACATTACCTTGCTCACACTCCGACAGCACGACAAATCCCAAAACCCATTTGTCTCCAGTCCGATTTAAAGCCCTCACACATGCCTGTTAAATGCTTAAGCCGCTAATAACTTAAAATCTCCTACACCCTCTCTTAATTTCTTTACGTAATGTAATATATAAGTATATGAGAGAGAGAGAAAGAGAGAGGTAGAGAGAGAGAGAGAGAGAGAGAGAGTACGTACGTACGTACAGAATTACCACTGCAACTAGAGGAGAGCAGATCTGTTCATGGTGCCCTGTCTTCTTTAATCATAAATATTTATACAAAATATACGGTGGCTGTTGTATACAATACCATTTCCAACCATGTACACTCTCATATATCAGAATGTTCTATTGTTTTCCCTGCCTCTATTTTTCTATATTTTCAAATTCACTCCCTTGTTCTCTGACTAATTTTATTTGCTGTGCTCTATGTTGGGTTTTATCTCTTATTTCATATTTTTCAATGAAAGCTTAATGGTAATTATGTCTCTCCTCGTTCCTATAATCCCCAACAGGGAATTTTTCAGATTTATATATATATTTGAAACGAGTTTGGTGATGACAGTGTAATGACATCGTCTTCGACTCACAACAGAGTGATCTGGGATCGATCCTGAGAAGGGTTAAGACGTGGGACATGTTTTATCACACCTGTTGCCCCCTGTTCACCTAGCAGTAAATAGTAACATTGGTGTTAGACGGGTATTGTCTCTTGCATCGTGTAAGAGGACAAAAAGGGTGGTAATTTACTTTAGAGAAGGTAAGACATGTGAGTAACACATATATAACTATTGCTGCTAATGAAGATGCTTAGGTATTGCACATATGTATTATTTATTAACTTGTAGGAACTGAATACCATCAAAGATATGATATTTTAGATATAGATGGGCATTCATATGAGCTGAGGCAGATTCACAAGTCTTCAGCTGAAATTCAAACATGACCTATAATTTGCTTTAGCTTTAGTTTATAAGGAAGTGTATTTAGACAATATCTGAAACCTGGCCAGTTATGTTGAGGATACCGTATTTTCCGGCATATAAGGCGCGCCCTTTTTCCCATAAAACTTCCTGGAAAATCACCCTGCGCTTTTTATGCCGGAAAATACGGTAATAATGATAGAATTACCGACAAAATGTAAGGAAAAAGGAGACAGAAACCAATGCAATATTTTATTGTGACAATGTTACTCTCCAGGAACTTTGTCAAGACGTTACCCCTTGACAAAGCTCCTGGAGAGCGAAACGTTGCCACAGTAAATGCCACATTCACAAATAACCCGCACATAGAAGAGAGGAGCTTACGACGACGTTTCGGTCTAACTTGGACCATTTACAAAGTCTCAGTGTGACTTTGTAAATGGTCCATTCTTCTATGTGCGGGTTATTTGTGTATCGTTCCAGTCACGATATTGTGCCTCTTTTTGTTATTAATGCCACATTAGTTGCATTTGCATCCTTTTACCTAATTTCAAAATTTCCCCCTTTTTTTCAGAATATCTGGTTTATAATCACCCCAAGTTAATATTAATTCTAGTATATTCTAAAATATTGTTATATTCTATACTCTGAACTTTTTTTGTCATTTTTCATTCATTATGTGAAATCGATTTAACACACTTTCTCTCCCTCACTGATCCAGATAATGCGGATCAGGGACGGGCAACTACCATTGGCTAGTTAACTCAAAACTGTACCCCGCTTTCCTATTAACCAGTTATCCTTGATCAGGAACAGGTCTGCAGACAGCTTATTCTCTCTTTCCTACTGAAGGTGTCTTCACTGCAAGGGGCAATAAGGTGTATCTACTGCCAGAGGCATTAAGGTGCATCTACTGCCAGAGGCTTTAAGGTGCATCTACTGCCAGAGGCATTAAGGTGCATCTACTACCAGAGGCTTTAAGGTGCATCTACTGCCAGAGGCATTAAGGTGCATCTACTGCCAGAGACATTAAGGTGCATCTACTGCCAGAGGCATTAAGGTGCATCTACTGCCAGAGGCATTAAGGTGCATCTACTGCCAGAGGCATTAAGGTGCATCTACTGCAGAGGCATTAAGGTGCATCTACTGCCAGAGGCATTAAGGTGCATCTACTGCCAGAGGCATTAAGGTGCATCTACTGCCAGAGGCATTAAGGTGCATCTACTGCCAGAGGCATTAAGGTGCATCTACTGCCAGAGGCATTAAGGTGCATCTACTGCCAGAGGCATTAAGGTGCATCTACTGCAGAGGCATTAAGGTGCATCTACTGCCAGAGGCATTAAGGTGCATCTACTGCCAGAGGCATTAACGTGTCTCCACTGCCAGAGGCATTAACGTGTCTCCGCTGCCAGAGGCATTAAGGTGTCTCCACTACCAGAGGCATTAGGTGTGTCCACTGCCAGAGGCATTAAGATGCCTCCACTGCCAAAGGCATTAAGATGCCTCCACTGCCAGAGGCAGTAAGATGCCTTTACTGCCAGGAACATTAAGGTGCCTCCACTACCAGGGGCAGTAAGGTGTCTCCACTACCAGAGGCATTAGGTGTGTCCACTGCCAGAGGCATTAAGATGCCTCCACTGCCAAAGGCATTAAGATGCCTCCACTGCCAGAGACAGTAAGATGCCTTTACTGCCAGGAACATTAAGGTGCCTCCACTACCAGGGGCAGTAAGGTGTCTTCACTGCCAGAGGCAGTAAGGTGTCTTCACTGCCAGAGGCAGTAAGGTGTCTTCACTGCCAGAGGCAGTAAGGTGTCTTCACTGCCAGAGGCAGTAAGGTGTCTTCACTGCCAGAGGCAGTAAGGTGTCTTCACTGCCAGAGGCAGTAGGTGTCTTCACTGCAGAGGCAGTAAGGTGTCTTCACTGCCAGAGGCAGTAAGGTGTCTTCACTGCCAGAGGCAGTAAGGTGTCTTCACTGCCAGAGGCAGTAAGGGTGTCTTCACTGCCAGAGGCAGTAAGGTGTCTTCACTGCCAGAGGCAGTAAGGTGTCTTCACTGCCAGAGGCAGTAAGGTGTCTTCACTGCCAGAGGCAGTAAGGTGTCTTCACTGCCAGAGGCAGTAAGGTGTCTTCACTGCCAGAGGCAGTAAGGTGTCTTCACTGCCAGAGGCAGTAAGGTGTCTTCACTGCCAGAGGCAGTAAGGTGTCTTCAACTGCCAGAGGCAGTAAGGTGTCTTCACTGCCAGAGGCAGTAAGGTGTCTTCACTGCCAGAGGCAGTAAGGTGTCTTCACTGCCAGAGGCAGTAAGGTGTCTTCACTGCCAGAGGCAGTAAGGTGTCTTCACTGCCAGAGGCAGTAAGGTGTCCTTCACTGCCAGAGGCAGTAAGGTGTCTTCACTGCCAGAGGCAGTAAGGTGTCTTCACTGCCAGAGGCAGTAAGGTGTCTTCACTGCCAGAGGCAGTAAGGTGTCTTCACTGCCAGAGGCAGTAAGATGTCTTCACTGCCAGAGGCAGTAAGGTGTCTCCACTGCCATGGACATTAACTCTCTCTTCACCTGCCTTATCGCCTGTAAGTGAATCAGAAACCTGAGACTGTAACTACCCAGTAAACTCTTGCTCGTCCTTCCCTTCACATGAACTAGATATCGTGTACCATGAACACTACCACTGAAAAAACAGCTAATTCTTTGTCATCTCTCTTTCTTCTTCACCTGGACCAAATATGTTTTAGGAACCGGGGCAGCCACCTCTCGGATTGTACTCCTTTTCCCTCTTCTCCAGGTTCACCTGTATCATACAACATGGATCACCAACAGAAGCACCATAACCCACTTAACTCACTCACTCTCTTGCTTCACTTTTCCCTGACCAGATATCGTGGATCAGAAGCCGGGATTCACACATCCTGACGGTGGATCGGTACACGTTCATCGCGGACCAGCGGTTTCAGTCGTGGCATGAAGCCAACTCGGAGACGTGGACACTGCAGGTGAAGTACGTGCAGGAGAGAGATGCCGGCCGGTACGAGTGTCAGGTGTCCACTGAGCCCAAAATGAGTCACTTCGTCCACTTTCACGTCGTCAGTGAGTATTACCACACCTGCTGGGGGTGGTGGGGAAAGTAGGGGCGGTGTGGGAAAATGGAAGTATAGCAGAAGAGTTGCAGGGGGTGATTGGGTATTACACAGATAACCCGCACACAGGAGAAAGCTTATCACGACGTTTCTGTCCGACTTGGGCCACTGACTAGCCACACTAATACAGGAAGAAAAGGGAGCCAGTATATATGCGAGGAGGGGGGGGCAGAGACGGAGCAGACGAAGAAATCAGGTAGTTAAGAAGTAGTGGTGGAGGTAATGATGGTAGTGGAAGTAGTAGCAAGAAAAGAGGGAAGCGTGGGTGGGAGGATTAGTAGTATGGGAGATCGTTTGTACTGGAGCGAATGTGGAATGGAGAGGTGGATGGGTGGGTGTTTTGTGTATGGCGGGAAGGATATGAGTAGGAGTGACAGGGAGATTGAGCGAGGATAAGAAGTTGACATGGCTGGGTTTTGATATGGGTTGTGGGAGTGAGTGTTTTAGATACCATATGGCGGGATTAAGTGTTGGAGAAGTCAGGTGGTGGGAGTGAGTGTTGGAGATACCAGATGGTGGGAGTGTTGGAAATACCAGATGGTGGGAGTGAGTGTTGGAAATACAACGGATGCTGGAGAAACAACAGCTAGCAAGATAACGGAGGAGATGAAGTAAAGAGGAAGGCAGCAGACGTATGACAAAGGCAGAATACAGAGATTGGAAGCTAATTAGAAAGGTAGCTTGGGGTGGGTTAGAGCTGGATAAGGAGAAATGAACCAAATTTAGACCATAAATCCCACTGACAGCAAGGAGATGAAAGGAGAGAGAGATGTACACAGGTAGCTCACGTCTGGGTATCAATGGTTTGCGATGGCAGTGTTGTGTTGGACTGATATACTTAAGACCACATGCATGTTGTTATTTAGAACTTTCTACAGCCACTTACTGACATTATCAATGTGCTATTATTGCCAGTTTCATACTTCTGTAACTAGGATGCTGTCTAGTTACGAAAGTCACCAATACAGGTCAATTATTTACTTTCTTCAAAGCACATTTGTAATTTATTTCTAGTCAATGACCATAAGGCACAATATATCTATGCAATGCTTGAGAATATTATGGAAACGTTTCGCTAGCCAGTGCCTTCTACAGTCCAACAATGAAGAGAAACGTTAGAAGATAGAGGAGGAGTTTGAGGTAATTAATCCCTCAGTCTGGAGTCGATGTGGTCAATCCATCGCTGTTGGTAGATGTGCAGCATATTTATGGAGATAGGACAAATGAAGTGACCTAGCTGCACAAGTGTTGCACTAGTTGCGCAAGTGTCTTATTTATCATCTTGTCGATTCTCGAAACAATTTAATCAAACACTAAATTCAGACAAAAGGGGAAATATCCCCACTATTTATGCCGAAGGACATACTGGGTTCATTGTGAGGTAAGCATCTTGAAGGACGAGTGGCACCCATGAAGGAGCAG